CTCCCTCCTTTTTTTTTTTTTTTTTTTTGTCACCTCATTTAGTGGTGTCATATCTTCAAATAGCTTTCTAAAGGACTGCAGTACTCATGTGGCAACACGCACCTCTGATCCCAGCCATCTGGAGGCTGAGGCAGGAGGATTGCCACAAGTTTGAGTCTGGCCTGAGCTATACAGCAAAACCCCTCTTTTAAAAGCTTCATCTATCTAAGGCAGTAACAGACATGCAAGCCAGTCAGGACCGGAGCCACCCAACCAAACCAGAAAGTTTCAAATCATCAAAGCCTCCTACAACAGGCCCAGTCTGGATTTCCTTCCATTCTCTGGGGCAAAACACCCCAAGAGGAAGCCGAGCTCAGTGGTGGCCAAGCTGTGGTGGGAACCGGGGTGGGGTGGGGAGGGTTCGGCAGCAGGGACGGGGCCAGCTCACCCCGCAGTCTGGTCACCGCTGTCCCTGGGGCACAGACGGGGCAGGCAACACACCGGGCACAGGAGTTGGCGGTGGAGGTGGCACAGAACATGCCGGGCCGGCACTGGCACACGCGGGAGGAGTTCCAGGTGCAGGGCGCCTTCTCCACGAGGTCATCTGGGGGACACAGAGGTGGCCACGGGGAGCAAGGGCAGGTCCAGAGAGCCCCCAGGAGGACAGGGGACCTCTGCCCAGTCACCCACAGAAAATAAGGGCTCACTCGGCTTCTGTGGGGAAGCTCTCCCAGCACGCTTAGGGTAACTACACTGAATGAAAGGAGATGGACAGAAAGGGGGCGCATTCTAGCTGGGCCTGGTGGCGCACGCCTGTAACCCCAGCACTCAGGAGGCTGAGGCAGGAGGATCGCTGCAAGTTCAAGGCCAGCCTGGGCTATACAGTGAGACTCTCTCTCTCAAAAAAAACAAACAAACAAAAAAACAATGCCAGACAGGTAAGCTGAGGCTCGGGAGGCTGAGCAGCTCAAACCAAAGCCAGCTTCACCGCCCCCCCGGGTTCTTGGCCGAGAGCTCACCTCGCACACAGCTCACGCAGGCCGTGCAACGGCTGTCCACGTCCAGGTAGTGGTCAAGCTGACACTGCTTCCTCCTGCAGTCAGCAGAGCCCTGCAGACACTCCTGAGAGAGAGCCGCCCCTGGGGACGGAGGAAGAACAGCTGAGAGAGGGCAGAGGCTCAGGAGGGAGGGGACGGCCCAAAGCCATACAGAACAGCACCCTGGCCTCCCACCCCTGCCTCCAAGCCACCGCCAGGTGGCGTCCCTGCTCCAGACCCAGGCAGTGGCTACCCCCAAATCCACTGCCTTTCTACATGTCAGTTTGGATCATATGAAATCACCAGTTTTTTAAGTCAAAAACAGTCAAATATTGGCAATTTCTAATGATTTGAAGCCACACTGACAGGCATGGTGGCACACGCCTATAATCCCAGCACTCGAGAGGCTGAGGCAGGAGGATCTCTGTAAATTCTAGACTAGCCTAGGCTACATAGTGAGTTTCAGGTCAGTCTCAACTACATAGTGAGACATTGTCTCTATAAACCAAAAACAAACAAACAAACAAAAAAAGAGAACAAAAACCAAACAAACAAAAAAACATCCTCAACAAAAACTAAGAGCATGAAATGCTGAAAAGCAACACATATGTCACGATCAGAAACCTCAGCCGGGCGTGGTGGTGCATGCACACCTGTAATTCTAGCACTAGCACTTGGGAGGCTGAGGCAGGAGGATCACTGAGTTCGAGACCAGCCTGGGCTACATAGTGAGTTCCAGGTCAGTCTCGACTACATAGTGAGACCCTGTCTCAAAACAAAAACAAAAACAAAAACAAACAAACAAACAAAAAAGAAGCCTCAGATGCCCAGAAATCTGAGCCGGGGATGTAAAGTCCTATTCCCAGAGCAAAGAACATTACTGAGGGAGTGGAGGGGGCCCGGGAGATGCAGCATAGCTCCTCCCCACACCTAAAGATTTGAGGCAGCCCCAGCCAGGACCCCAGCAGGGCCCTGGAGGAATTGGAGAAGCAGATCCAGAATCGACTCCATAAACATGGAGATCCTTGATCTTCCACAAAGAAGGCATAGGAAACACAGGAGGAAATGACTGTGATCCAACCGGACACCCATGCAAGCAATTTGAAATATGACCACTTTAATTCCAGTGTTCCGGGAGGCTGAGGCAGGAGAGTCACAAATTCAGGCCCAGCCTTGGAAACGTGGTGATGCAGCAAAAGCCTGTCTCAAAAAATTAAAGCCAGGCGTGGGGCTGCACAGCTGTAACCCCAGCACTTGGGTGGCTGAGGCAGGGAGAAGTTTTTGAGTTGAAGGCCAGCCTGGGCTACACAGTGAGGTCACGGCCAGCCTGAGCTACACTACGAAGCTCTGTCTCAAAAAAAACAAAATAAATAAATATATAAATAAAATAAAATAAAACCTTTATAAAAATGGAGGCCAGGATTGTAGCTAGGTGAGAAAGCCCTAGATAATTAAACAAAACAAAACTAAGACCACTGCCTAAAATTTTTTGTTTTGTTTTTGGGTTTTTTTGAGGCAGGGTCTCCCTTTGTAGTTCAGGCTGGCCCTGAACTCACTATGTAGACGAGGCTGGCCTCAAACCTGTGGCAAGCCTCCTACCTCAGCCTCCCAAGTGCTGGGATTACAGGCATGCGCCGCACGCCCGGCATTCCCCTCGTGCCCCGCACACCAAAAATTGAGCTCAGGACCTTGCCTGCGCAGTGCCACTGAGCTAAATACCCGGGCCACTGCCTAAAATTTAGTGAGGACAGCAGGTCCTAAAAATGAACAGAAAAGCAATAAAGATCCCAGAAAATAACTGAACCAACTCCACCAACGGAGGAAAGGGCTTGCAGCGCGGAACAGGGCCAGCGCTGGTGCCGCACACCATCCCCACCGGGGTGCTGCAGAGGCCGCGTGGGGGCAGCAGCACCTGCGTGGGGGCAGCAGCACCTGGCAGGAAGCGAGCGGCCACCCGGGAGGGAGCGCAGGCCTGGACGCAGCCGCAGGGCAGAGGCGCCACCCAGAACCGGAAGTCTTCCTAATAAAGGAACGGAAGGTCACCTGGGTCTGCACCTGGCTCCTCTGCTGTGGAAAAGGGGGACTCTGGAAACCCCGTGGGTCGCGATCGGGAAGCGTCTTCCAGCTGGAGGGGCGCGTCTCCTCCTAGGGGTCGGGTCCTGGCATCGGCACTGGCCCAGGACATCACCGTTGGCTTGGCCTGGTGGGTGGAACCGCTGGAGAAGAAGCCAGACAGGGGCCTGATGACGTCCTGACGCAGCAGGGAGGTCGAGGTCAGGGGTCACAGTGTCGACAGAGAAGGGATCCCCATGGCCAGACTTGGTGGCTCAGGCCTGTAATCCCAGCACTCCGGGAGGCTGAGGCAGGAGGATTGCACGTTCAAACCCAGCCTTGGCAATTAAGCAACTCAGTGAGATCCTGTCTCAAAATTTTAAAAAAACATTTGTTTAAGGGCTAGGGATATAGCTCCGTGTGCTGGCCCTGGCTTTACAAATCAGCTCCACCAAAAAATAAAAAATAAAAACAAAAAAACCAAGACAGGGAGAGAAGGGATCCTCAGACTCCTCCCTCAGGCTCCTTCCAGGAGGAAGGGCTGTGCTGTTCAGCTTCTGGGTGTCCCTGGGCGAAAGGCGGGAATGGGCACTGGCAGGCAGGGGACTTGTGGGCATGGCAGGGGTCCCAATGCCTGGCCTTGGGAGGTAGGACAGCCTCGCCCCAAGGTCACCTGGAGGGGAGGCAGGGGAGGGCTGGCCGTCACCTGGCAGGTGTCCTGCAGGCCTCAGGGCTGGCACAGGCAAGGCTGGTCCCCGGGGAAGGCTGGCCACAGACCGTGTCCTTCTCGGCTGTGCCTGCAGGGCGACAGCAATGGCTTCAGGGTAGACACAGGAGCCCAGAGACTCCAGAAACAGGACCCCCCCAGCAGGGGCCCAGGCTGGTGGAGACCCCTTCCCGGGAGTCACCCTGGAGCCAGACTGCCTCAGCCTCCCCAACGGGCCCCTCCCTCAGGGCCAGCAGCCTGGCACCAGGCCTCAGACACAGTCTCAGGGCCTCGCTGATGAACCTGGCCGCCGGAGTGGACATGAGAGATGGAAAGGAAGTCGCTCAGAGCCGACCCCAGACGTTTTGGTTACATATGCCCCAGACTGTCACAACTCAAAGAGCCCCGAGGAGCACTGGGGAGGAGCAGAGGGAGTCAGACTGCCCACCAAGGGTCCAGGTTTCCCCTCCGTCTCTACCCTGACCCGGGTGCACCTGGCCAGGTAGCGATTCCGGGGAGAAACAGCCCTGGCCCGGCATCTGTGGAGGGGAGTGACACAGCCTCTCTGAACATGGGACATTCCGGGAGACCTCAGTGGAGGCTCTTAGCAGGGGTCTTTGTTGCAAGGTGAACCGGAAGCAGAAATCACTTCCCACTTTATTCACTCCTGGGGAACCACAGTCCCGGGAGAGTCCAGGGGGCCCCAGAACCCTGACGGGGTCCCACAGCCGAGCTCGGAAACCTGCCTAGTGGCGCTATCCAGAAGATGTGATGGGAACCATGGGAGCCAGCTTGAAACCCACATTTTGAAAGGTAAAAAAGCTGGGTGTGGTGGCGCACACCTGTAATCCCAGCACTCAGGAGGCTGAGGCAGGAGGACTGTCACAAATTCAAGGCCAGCCTGGAATACATAGTTCAAGGCCAGCCTGGAATACCTACTGGGACCATGTCTGAAAAAGCCTAAACAAATAGGTAATAAAACAAGTGAATATATATCGATAATGCTATGTTGGTGGGTAGTCATGACAATAGCTACCATGATGCCTTATATTCCTTCTGGCATTGAGGTCTTTGAAGCCCAGTTCCTCGGCGACGTATTAAAATGAGGCCTCTGGCGCCACTATGTGGCAGAGATTGGAACAGCACTCCAGCAACCACACTCAGAAAGGCGCTGCTGGCCCAGGCTGGACCAAGTGGACCCGGGCAGTTTTTCAGAGAGGGAGAGATTCTGAGCGGGAAAGGCCCCTAGGGACTTCAGGTTACACTCCCTCATTCGACAGTGGGGAGACTGAGGTCCGGACATGGCCCTTCCCACTCCACCTGCCCTGCTGTGGGGTGACCAGGTGAGCGGGGAGGAGGGGCGGCCACCCAGAGGCTGCGGTCTGGGAAGATGGGAGGACGCCCTTTCCGCCGCCTCCCAAGAGCGGATAAAAGCCTGGACGTTAGGGACTGCGAGGTGAGGACAGGGTTAGAGGCTGGGGCCGGGGAACCTGAGGGAGGGCTTGGTGGTGCGGGCGGGTGTTTGCTCTTTGCTTCAGGGTCCCAGATGCAGAGCCGGGGGCGGGGGTGTCCTCCATGAAGCCTGTGCCCCTTTGCCAAAGGACTGAGTCCCTTTCATGAGATCAGGGAAGACATTGAGGGGCTTTAGGGGGGTATGTGTTCCTGCACGGCCGAAGGATGACAGGAGCACATCTGGTTGGGGTGGCGCTGTCCCCCTGAGGCCAGGCTGGCTTTGGGGGGAGGGCAGGCACGGAGAGGCGAAGGGGCAGGGGCAAGGGGCAAGAGAACAACGTCCCCCATGTGTGCGGCAGGTGGGGGGAGCGTGCTGGGAGAGGGGTCGCGGCTCCCCTGACCCTATCTCACCCTGTCCTTGCACCCTGAGGGGCTGTGACTCCCCAAACCCCCATCTCCCTACAGCACCCTGCTGAAGGGCCCCAAGCCACCCACTGAGGTCTGCGGCGGGAGGGTTGCCTGCCCACAGAGAGGGTAAGGCAGTTGCCTGAGGTCACACAGCAGAGGGAAGGGGCACACAGGGCTGAGTTCATCCCCAGCCTGCAGCTGTTCTCACTGCTGCTCTCTAACCCCAGCGCCTGTCTCCAGGGCAGGAAAAGCCCCATCCCTCGGGAAGCTCCCAGCACAGCAGCAGAGGGCTGTGGGCACACTCACCTGGGGCCATGAGCACCATCCCCTTGGGACAGGGAGAGTGGGGGAAGCAGCGGGCACAGGAGTTCGCAGCGGAGGTGGCACAGAACATGCCGGGCCGGCACTGGCACACGCGGGAGGAGGTCCGGGTGCACGGCGCCTTCTCCACGAGGTCGTCTGGGGGACACAGGGAGGGTCATGGGGGGCGACGGAGGGTGAGGGTTCCGGGGGACTCGGGGACAGGTCCAGTTGGGAGCTGAGACCCTGCTCGTCTCAGCTGGTGACACCCCTCTAGCCCCCTCCCCGTTTTGGCTGCTCCACACCTGAAGCCGGAAGGCTGGTGGGGTCTGTTCACATCCTTGGTGACCAGAAAGGGGTGGCAAATATAAGTAAGTGAGCAATTTAAAAAGGGGCAAAACCTCTGAACCCTCAAGCCAAAAGTAACCTTTCTGCTTGTACGCCAGCACTCAGGATTGCCATGAGCTCAAGGCCAGCCTGTGCTACATGGTGAGACCCGTCTCAAAAACAAAAGCAAACAAACAAACAAAATGGGCAAAAGAGACATGGGAAACCAGCCAGAAAAAGAGACTCGCTGGGATTCCAGGGACATTCTGGACAAGGTGACACTCTAACACTCCACAGTGAAGTGGCCAGGGGTGGCCAGGGTGAGGGCAGACGGGGGGACGAACACGTGGGGGACAAATTGTAGAGCAGTGGGACTGTGCTGTATGACGCCGTGATGGCGGACACACTTCTTTCTCTGACTGTCACACACAGAAGGAAGCTGGGTGTGGTGGCACCCACTGTAATCCCAGCTATTCCGGAGGCTGAGGCAGAAGGGTTCCAAGTTCAAGACCAGCTTCAGCAACTTAACAAGACCCTGTGTCAAAATTATAAAAATGTTTGAAAAAGGCAAGACATATAGCTCAGTGGTAGAGAGGTCTTGGGTTTGGTCCCCAGTACACCCCTGCACACGCACACACACACACACAAACACACACACACATTCACAAACTGCCCCACAAAACAAAAACCAAATGCATAACACTGTGAGTACATCCTAATGTGAAGGAGGGAGTTTAATTAAAACATATTAACCTTGGGCTGGGGATTTAGCTCAGTGGTTCCGGAGCCTGACTCAGAAGCGCCAGGACCCAAGTTCGATCCCCAGTACCAAAAAAAAAAAAAGCCAAAAAAACAAATAACATATTAACCTTGACTGGTAACAAACATACCCCACTGATACAAAACATGAACAACAGGAAACTGGGTATTAGAGTTACATGGGACCGCTCTACTTTCTGTTCAATTTTTGTATAGACTAAAGCTGCTCTTACAAAAGTCCATTCTTTTTTTTTTAAAGACAGGGATTGGTCAGGCATTTCTCCAGATACACCAGTGGCCAGTAAATGCATGACAACGTAAAAACGTTCAACATCTTTAGCCAGAAGGGAAATGCAAACCGAAACTCCCATGTGACAGCACCTTGTAAAAGACAGACAATAACAAGTGCTGGCAAGTGCTAGGGTTCAGATCTTGGATAACCAAAGGCCCACGTGTGGAAGGCCACGTGTGGTAGGACATAGGGTGGGACGTAGGGCCTACAGAAAGGAAGTTAGGTCACGGGAACCCAGCCCCTTCCTGTTTCTCCCTCTGCTTCCCAGCTGCCATGATGGAAGCAGGACCCCCACCACGCACAACGGCCGTGATATACAGGCCCAGAGCTGTGAGGCCAAGGGGCTGTGGGGCTGTGGACGGCAACTGTGAGGCCAAACAACCTTTCCTGATGTAGGTTGATTATTTTGGGTACTTTGTCATGGTGATGGAAAGTTGGCTCAACAGAAATGCAGGGAAATTGGGGTCCTCAGATACCCACTGGTGGGAAGATAAAACACTCACCAAGACAAAGCATCTGCCCAAGAGCACTGAGAATCTTGGTCACCCTAGGACTTTGCTGTGAATGTTCCTGGCAGCACCATTTGTGATGGCCAGAAAGTGCAAGTGACCAAGCATCCAGCAGGATTTTTTTTACTATAATTTTTTGGGGGTTTTTTCGTTTTGTTTTTCTCGGTTTTTTTGACACAGGGTCTCACTGTGTAGTTGAGACTGACCTGGAACTCACTATGTAGCCCAGGCTGGTCTCAAACTCACAGCAATCCTCCTGCCTCAGCCTCCCGAGTGCTGGGATTACAGGCGAGTGCCAACATACTAGGCTGTAATTTTTTTTTAAATATAAACATTCGCTGTATTTTGATGGCCTCTTGTAGAATATATACACTGAGCAGGGAAAACCCAAGCATAAAAGAACCAACTGCAAGGTGCTGTGAGGCTGGAGAGAGGCAGACCCAGGACTGCACTGAATGCAGTTCACTGTGACTTACAGAGAGCAAGACAGTGGCTCTTCATGATGCAGGTCAGGAAGAGGGAAAGGAAGGACTCACACAGTGCTCAAGATGGGCCGTATCACTTGAATGTCTCGTGGTTAACATATGTAATTTTCATCTAATAAAATACAGTCATTACTTTCAAACTATTGCAAGATATGGCAGAGGAATGCTAGTGTATAAAGAAGGAAATGGCACTGTTGCTATCAAACAACATTAAAATTAAGGGAAAGGAAACTATAAGGAACAAAGAGATATAACTCATGCAGATAAAAGGTTCAACCCACCCAGCAGACGTGATATACATGAACACCTATGTACCTAACAACATAGCTCTGACATATATAAAAGACAATTAGAAGAACGCAATGAAGACCTAATGGATGAAAAGCATTTTGGAAGGCAAGCTTTGAACACACCTCTCTCAGGAATCAACAACTAAAGATTATAAAAATGAATAAGAATATACTTTATTGGGCCGGGGATTTACCTCAGTGGTTCCACCACCTGCCTTGCAAGCACAAGGTCCTGAGTTCGATCTCCAGTACCCCCCTCACAAAAAGAATATATCTTCTTTAAGTAACATAATTCACAAGACTGATTGACTAGATATCCAGAGAACTTTGTATGCAACAAACAATACACATTTTAAAAAACATATTGAAGCCGGGCTTGGTGGCACATGCCTGTAATCCCAGCACTTCGGAGACTGAAGCAGAATGGTGAGTTCAAGCCCAGCCTTCTTCTTTAAGTAACATAATTCACAAGACTGATTGACTAGATATCCAGAGAACTTTGTATGCAACAAACAATACACATTTTAAAAAACATATTGAAGCCGGGCGTGGTGGCACATGCCTGTAATCCCAGCACTTCGGAGACTGAAGCAGAAAGGTGAGCTCAAGCCCAGCATGGACTAAAGAGCAAGGCCTTATCTCTAAGAATATAGATAAATAAATAAATAAAATACTGAACACAAATTTTTAAATGTGATCATTAGCTATAAGATCGCAACAAATTTCCCCACCTATGTACACACACCCACACACCCCCCTCACACACACACACAACCCAACACCAGACCATATAGTAAGAAGTTACCGTGAAAGTGCTTACTGAGGTTTTCTGAAAGCAATGAGGAAAAGACGCAACCTTGGTGCCCAGCCATCCGCTTAGACTCAAGCACTAACAGTTACCCAAGTTTTGCAACTCTGGAAAGGCCCTTCGCCTCACTAGTCCTCAGATCCTTCACCGCGAGGCAGGAGAGGAGAAAAGCGTTCTCCCTAAGGCCGTTGCAAAGATTAAATTCTGCAAATGTGAATCCGCCCTTTCGGGGAACACGCCAAGTCTCTCTGAAAAGTACGGATGCAAAAGATCACTGGTGATACCGATTCACAAATCCAGACAGGTGAACTGAAATGCCAGCAGCCAATTCAGAGTTCAAGCGCCAAATCCCAATGCTCCCCACCTCCCAGATTCTCCTCTGAGTCCCCTTCAGGCCGGTGGAGAGAAAACAGGGTCCTGACCTCTGGAGCAGGTTACGCAGGCCGTGCAGTAGCCGTTCTCGTCCAGGTAGTGGTCAGGCTCACACTGCTTCTCCCTGCAGTCAGAAGGCCCCTGAGGACACGGCTGTGTCGGCAATGACCCTGGAAAAAGAAGCAGAAGAGGTCCAGGCCAGGCCACCTTGGTGAAGTCTTTGCCCCTCTTCCACCCCTCTGGAAGCCTCTCCCAGCTCTGCCTGCACCTGCCCGCCCCCCAGCCTCCACCACATGTCCGTGCAACTTTTATGTGATAAATGCGGGTAGATAGGAACCAGCGCAAGTTGGGGGGAGAATAGGGCCTGGGATTCCACGGCTGCCAATTGTGTAGCCCTGGCTAACTAACTACCGTGTCTTCATTCATGCTAATACAACCGATCTCTTAGTGGTGTTGAAAGGATTAAAGGGACCCTGAAGGTAAATACGTGTAAAGTGCTACAGCAGTCCCTGGCACCCAGCAAGCACTAGCTGAGCATTGGGGGTCAGCATTCTGGCCAAGTCCTGTTTCTCCCCAGAGGTGAAAGACCTTGGGGATCCATTTAGGCTAAGAGGGATGCAAATAACCCAGCAATCCCCTCCTCCCATTGTATGGGAATGGGAGACACAGGAGCTGACACAGACAGTATAAGAATGTGACCCAGACAGACCAATCAGAGGACTCCATCTTCCTCACCACTGTGACTGGCTCAGCACAGGCACATGACCCAAACAGACCAATCAGAGGACTCCATCTTCTTCGCCACTGTGATTGGTTCAGCATGGGAACATGACCCAAATAGATCACAAAATTCCATCTTCCTCTCTGCTCTGATTAGTTCCCCATGGCCATGTGACCCACATATGCCAGCCGACAGACCCTACCTCTGAGTTTTCTCAAGCATAATCAGAAAAGAGACTTTGGCTTACTATAGAACTCCTGCTTTGAAAGGCCCCATGTGGCCCCCGCAGCCTGAGTATGGGTGTGAACAGGACCTACCCAAGAAGGAGGCAACGCAGAGGGCAGAATTGGAGAAAAATCGATTCCTGAGAACATCATTCACACCCTGAATTTAGGGTGCCCCATGGACTTCCCTGTTATTAAGCCCATTCTCTTTCTTTCTTTCTTCCTTTCTTTTTTTTTTTTTCTTTTTTTTTTGAGACAGGGTCTCACTGTAGTTGAGACTGACCTGGAACTCACTATGTAGTCCAGGCTGGTCTGGAACTCACAGTGATCCTCCTGCCTCAGCCTCCCAAGTGCTGGGATTACAGGCATGCACTACCACTCCCGGTCCCATTCTCTTTCTTATATCTTGCTTGGCCCCAAATAGAGTTAGGCTTCTTAGTTGCAATCACCAAATTAATCTATAAATCTAGAGCTGCCCAATGTTGTCAGTGTTTGGTTTGGCTTGGTTTGGTTTGGTTTGGCTTTTGGTACAGGGATTGAACTCAGGACCTTGCACTTTCAAGGCCAGCAGCAGCCCCACTGAGCAAAATCCCCAGCCCTACCCAATGTTTTTCTATTCCTGGTTGTTCTAAGGAAGCTCTAGACACCAGAATCACAAATACATAAACTAAAAACAAAGGATTACAGAGGAAGCCAACAATTATTGGAATATGGTTATTAACGCATTAAACAAAATAAGAAATAGTAATCTATATGATTCCTTGTAACCTCATTCAGTAGAGTTAAGCTTAAACAATATTTTGTGATATCTGCTGCAACTGAAATATGAGAATGTCTGTGATTTCTATTGATGACAAAGTAATTACTGCTGTTTTGTTGCCTGAATTCATCATAAAAAGAATTCATAGGGAACAACACAATCTTGTTTCGTTTTTCCACGTAGGGTCTTGCTATGTAGCTCAGGCTGGTCTTGAACTCACTAAGTAGCCCAGACTGGCCTCAGACTTGATTCTCCTAGCTCAGCCTCCTGATTGCCTTGCCTGGCCATAAGGGAGTTTTAATTGGAAGCTAATTTAAAAAAGAATCCATTCAAGTTCTCTGGCTTCTGAAATATATTCTGCATGGCAGTGCCCTCTTCTAGAATAACACACGAGGACCTCTCTCAAAACTACAAGCCTGAGGCCGGGGATTTAGCTCAGTGGTGCTGCCACCTGCCTCAAAAGTGCAAGGTCCTAAGTTTGATCCCAGGTAGCAAAACAAACAAACAAACAAACTACAAGCCTGATGGCTGTCATTCCCAGCTCAGAAAACTTCAGTCGATCCCCCCAGTTGTGTCCCCACCACCATCCCAATATTGGGGATGGACCTTGCACTTTCAAGGCCAGCAGCAGCCCCACTGAGCAAAATCCCCAGCCCTACCCAATGTTTTTCTACTCCTGGTTGTTCTAAGGAAGCTCTAGACACCAGAATCAAAAATACATAAACTAAAAACAAAGGATTACAGAGGAAGCCAACAATTATTGGAATATGGTTATTAAAGCATTAAACAAAATAAGAAATAGTAATCTATATGATTCCTTGTAACCTCATTCAGTAGAGTTAAGCTTAAACAATATTTTGTGATATCTGCTGCAACTGAAATATGAGAATGTCTGTGATTTCTATTGATGACAAAGTAATTACTGCTGTTTTGTTGCCTGAATTCATCATAAAAAGAATTCATAGGGAACAACACAATCTTGTTTTGTTTTTCCACGTAGGGTCTTGCTATGTAGCTCAGGCTGGTCTTGAACTCACTAAGTAGCCCAGACTGGCCTCAGACTTGATTCTCCTAGCTCAGCCTCCTGATTGCCTTGCCTGGCCATAAGGGAGTTTTAATTGGAAGCTAATTTAAAAAAGAATCCATTCAAGTTCTCTGGCTTCTGAAATATATTCTGCATGGCAGTGCCCTCTTCTAGAATAACACACGAGGACCTCTCTCAAAACTACAAGCCTGAGGCCGGGGATTTAGCTCAGTGGTGCTGCCACCTGCCTCAAAAGTGCAAGGTCCTGAGTTTGATCCCGGGTAGCAAAACAAACAAACAAACTACAAGCCTGATGGCTGTCATTCTCCAGCTCAGAAAACTTCAGTCGGTCCCCCCAGTTGTGTCCCCACCACCATCCCAATATTGGGGATGGACCCCAGGAAGCACTAAGCCATGTTCCTTTTCTGTTTTGGGGGGTGGTACTGGGGATTGAACTCGGGCTCTTGCACTTGCAAGGCTGGCGGTGGCATCACTGAGCTAAATCCCTGGCCCATCATTTTGAAAAATTGTATTTGGTTTTAGCACAGTGGCACCGTGTCTGCCTCACAAGCCCAAAGTCCTGAGTTCAATGCCCAGTACCGGTTAAAAAAAAATTGGATTGATTGATTCTGGAGATCGAACCTAAGGCTTTTGCACTAAACTCCATCCCCAGCCTATCTCTTTTATTTTGAGACAGCATTTTCGGGGCGGGAGGTACCAGGGATCGAACTCAGAACTCTGTACTTCTGAGGAAGGCGGTGACACCACTGATCTAAATCCCCAGTCCTAGACAGCCTTTTCATTCTTATTTCAAGAGGAGTCTGAGTAAGTTGCCCAGGCTGGCCTCGGACGTGCGACCCTCTTGCCTTGGCCTCCCTAGTCACTCGGATTACAGGTGTGCAGACCTTGCCTAGGACCCTCGGAGCCTTTCTGAGAGATAACTCCTTCCCTGAGACTTTCAAAGGCTTTTTGTGGCTCCCGGGATCAGAACCTAGGTCTTTAGTGGAACTGATGTGCACATACACCCAGCAACCCCTCCATCAGGGAAGCCAGTTAGCAGGCTGAACACCATCTCCTCCGGAATGTTCTGGATCATCTGCACCCACCCAGGTGCCCCCTGGCTCCCTTCAAAAGCTGTCAGAGCTGAGTATGTGGCGCACACCTGTAATCCCAGCACTCAGGAGGCTGAGGCAGGAGGATCACCATGAGTTCAAGGCCAGCCTGGGCTACACAAAGAGACCCTGACTCAAAAAAAAAAAAATTTTTTTTTTAAATCTCCCAGCAGCAGAGGCTGCTCTGGGGTGGGCACTGGGCACCTTGGGCTGCAGGAGCTATACTGCTGGACTCAGAGTGGTGACCTTGGTAGTGGGATTCTGTTGTAATCCCAGCACTCAGGAGGCTGAGGCAGGAGGATCACCATGAGTTCAAGGCCAGCCTGGGCCACACAAAGAGACCCTGACTCAAAAAAAAAAAAAATTTTTTTTTTAAATCTCCCAGCAGCAGAGGCTGCTCTGGGGTGGGCATTGGGCACCTTGGGCTGCAGGAGCTATACTACTGGACTCAGAGTGGTGACCTTGGTAGTGGGATTCTTTTTTCATAGAGCTCATTCACTGACCACCACCTACGTCCCAGGTCTCAATTTAGGGGTCAAAGAAAGCCAAGTCCCTGCCCCTCTGGATCTTCCACTACAGCCTGGGAGAGAGAGCAGTTGGCACCAAAGGCAACTGGCAAGTTGATTTCAGTGTTGTGGAAAAATCTTGAGGACAGTGAAGCAAGCAAGAGCCATGAGGAGGCAGGGGTGTGGGAAGAGAGAACTCACAGAGACCTGAAGGACAGAAGGTGATGGCCACACAGAGGGCTGGGATGGGAGCATTCCAGGCGGCAGGAACTGCGTGTGCAAAGGCCCTGAGGTCATGTGTGACTTGTGTAAAGAACAGCCAGGCCACAGGCGTTGGAACAGAGGAAGCAGAACCGTGGGGTTCACCTACTTCTTTCTCATTCTTTTCCCATTCTCCAGACAGGTCTTCCCCACTGTGCGTCCTCTCGTGTTCCAAAACCATGCGGCTGAGGCTCCAGAGTGCTGGAGGAGGGGATTTTAGAACTCGTTCCCAAGGGTCTCTGCCCCTGTCCACTCTGCTCACACCCCTTTCCCGGCTCTCAGATGTTCTCCAAGCTTGTCCTGCCTTCCCAGCACCACCTCTCACCCTCTGGCTCAGCGTCAGGGGTCAGGGTCCCAGGCAGCCCAGTCCCAGCTGCTCTGGCCCCAGGACGTCCACACAGAGAGCTGCTCCTTCCAGCAACCCAGCCACCAGCCCCACACCTGTCCTCCTAGCCCTCGGAGTTTATGCTTTGGACCGAGGAACCCACCGCCCGCTGCCTTGCTCACCTCCAGGTCTCTGCATGTTCTGCCTCCCTAACCTGAACGTGCCCCACACACCCCA